GTTTGCATATAATCATGCAATGCTTGATGTCTATACTCTTAGACAACTTCAAACAATCAGGATAACATAAATAAATCTATATCATTCTAGACAAAACTAGTCTAATCCAGAACAACTTGACAAATTTAGACAAATCCTGACTAAGTTAGTTAAACCTTGACGTATCTAAGAAGAGCTGTCATATCCAAACAGCCCTTCTGTTACAGCGTTACTTGGGGCAAAAATTTCCCGTATATGTAAGAACGACTTCAACATCTTCGTAGCGTTAATTATGATATGATTAACATGTTCTTAGCTGCAAAGATGATATGATCAACATGTTCATTGTACCAATTATAATATGATCTACATGTTCGTAGCTGAAAATATGATATGATCAACATGTTCGTAGCTGAAAATATGATATGATCAATGTCACATTGGAGATGTCTGTGGGTCGTCGAGTGTGAGCCCTTAATACCCCTCTTGGCACAACCCGACACGGGCCGACGCTGGGTTTCCCCGCTGCCAGACCGCGCGGATGCACGCCGGGATCCCCCCCCCCCTGGCTTGGGAGTCGTCCGGTCGACTGAAAACGCTGCGTTTAAAGCGTTCAAGGTCCACTCTCCACGGGTGTGAACGGTTTTTCTTCCTCTCCAGGGGAATGGTGTTTCGTTACCTCCCCCAAACGTCCAGAGAGTTTTCCAGTCTGGACGAAAGCGGTGACGAAATGGTCGCCTACGAGCGGCTTTCTCAGGGCCGCGTAGCTTAAATCATCGACAAGGGTTTTGGCCGCCACTCAGGCCTAATATCCATTATCCGCAACAAGACATCATTTTATTGCATTACTCCCGTTGCGTTGGGAGTCATGCAAGTGGCCGGAGTTTTAGCTTCGGGAGAAGAGACCTGCCTACCGGTCTGGCAAGCCACGAAGGGGCAAACCCCATGTGACACCTCCAATTTGTCTCGGTGATACAGGACTCCGACTTAGAGGCGTTCAGTCTTCGTCCTTTAGCATTTTGACTGATAAAAAATTTAACTTTATTACTGGGTTTGATACAGGCTCCCATTTGAATTCTGGACATAATTATTTAATTTACTCTCATTACAGAACAGAAAAGATACCAAATATTTAATCCATTTAATGTTGGACAATTCTATTTTAAATTTCACTATTACTAATGGAAAAGTATTTAGAATCACCATCAGTAGCAGAAACATGGGGATCGATGAAGACAAAAGAGCTATAACTTAGTAATTAAATAGATGGAAAACAAAGATAAAGAGAAGAAAATGAGAAGTTGTTTACTCTACTCTGTTCCTTGTGATATTTTCATTTGTCCTGTGCGCTGAGGAAGGCTCTATGCTGAAACGTTTTGATCTTTTTGTCTTGTCCTTAAATTCAAGGTTCCACATACCTTGTTTTGCCGCTTCAAAGAAAGAGATGCACGACTTGCAGATAGGAATGCACGAAAATAAATTGAGAAATCAAAACTAAAAGAACAAAAAGAGGTTGGAGCAGCAACAACAAAGATTGAACAGGTCAAACTAAAAGGAACAAGGATATAGACAGGAAATGTCATCTTCAAATAACAGAGATAGCAACGAAAGTTATTAACCAAAACTCACAGACATACAAACAAAATAAAATAAATGAAGAGATACATTCCTTAAACACGCTGCAGGAATATGCAAATCATACATTTATAGTGAAGACACTTGGACAAACATATAGCTAAACAGACTATCCGGGAAATGTTTCCGTATAATTAATGTGCTACAAAAGAACGACTATTTATACGTAAGAAAATCTTGCTGAAATTCTATTGAAAGACAGCAGAACATTACAGAAGGAAATTCGACCAGATCAGTTTGGATAGAGCAATAGACCCTAACACAACTATTTACAATATTAGAGATATTTTAAACACGTGGTTTGATCTCAGTGAGGTGAAAGTTGGAATACCAAAACAGTACTAGGCATATTTATAATAAACAAAGTGTTAAGAAATGATTCTAATCCTGCTTTTAAATTTTGAAAAGAAAGAAAGATTAAAACAGAAACATATTTGCGTGATGCTATATTAATATCTAAAGATAAAACATCCAAATAGAGATTTGAATAACAGAAGTGAAACAGGAGCTGACTTAAAGTCTACTCCGAATCCCGTGGTCGAGTCCTAGAACGCGACATACATCACTGCAGCATATATAGTACTGAAGAGTGTGGAGCCAGGACACAGTCCTGCTTCACGCCGTTTGTGACAAGGAATGCTTGAGAAGAAGACTGACCTTTGTCCTGTACTCGGGCCATCATGCAGCTGATGGATGCTGTTGATGAGCTTAGCTGGTCATCAGTACTTTTTCATTATTTTCCATAGGCCATCTATATTGACCCTGTTATAAGATTTATTCAGATAGATAAATGTGGAACATAGGTCCATGTTTTACTCATTAGAATTCACTTGGAGCTGCCAGGAGGAAAACACCATATTGATAGTAGCGCGTTCTTTGCGGAAACTACCTTGACTTTTAGATTGGAAATCTAGCACCAGATTTGTTTTCAGGCTGCTCAGTAGGGCTAAGAATTAAACAAATCAATAACTGTAGTAAACAGTCAAGTTTCGTCATTGAAGAATTACAAAGTTGATATAACTGAAAACATTGAAAACGTTCTAATGCATAAGATTGTATTAACACAAGAACCCACATTGAAACAAATAATATCCTAAACCATGTGCTTATAGAGAAGAAGAAAGAAAAAAGTGAACCATCAGTTGATCACAAATAAAAAGAGAAGCTCAAAATCTTCATTAGTTTCACCCATGACGGACGTAAAGAAGAAAAGTGGCCAAGTAAGAATATGTTGTGGTTATAGAATACTCAATAAAATCATTCAATTGGATGCAGAACCTAAGAGAGATACTAGAAAACATTTGAAAGAATAGTTTCTTCTACAGTATTTAAACATTAGGATCTCTACAAAGGATTTAGGCATATAAGGATGCAGGGAGAATCTACACCATACATTGCATTTGCAAGAGACCAAGGATTGTTTGAATGATCTGCTTCGTCATTTAGACTTGTTAACACCACAGCTAAATTCTCCAGGTTTATTAGAATTATTTTCACTAGAATGACCATTTTGTTATTGATATCTGGATTCACACAAAACAAATCATAACCCACCTGGAAACTTTAAAAAGGGTACTTGAAATACTAGGAGCACAATGTGTGACTATTGCGCCTCATAAACTACAGTTTGCAAAATACCAGATAGATTTCATAGGATTCAATGTAGGAAAAAGACAATTCAACCAACAGAGTATAATAATAAAGTGAAAATACTACATTAAAAAATCGCTAAAGGACCTAAAGGAAATTAAAGCTTTAAAATGTTGTTTTTTTTACCAAAGTTTTTTTCTATATTACAATGTCATTAAGAAACTAAAATATAAGAAGTTTGCTAAACTTGAATTCACAGACAGAACAAAATATTTGGACGGTTTGACTTGGAGCTTTCATCAGCAAACAAAACAAATTTAGAGGTAGAACAGGTAACAGGGCACAGTCTAACTTATCGAATTTCCTTTAGTTGTTAACAACAATCTAAAACCAATAGTATATCTATAGCAGATCTCTAAGAAAAGCAGAAATAATCTACTCAACAATTAAACAATAATGATTTTTCTGCAGTTTGGTCAGTCACAAAACAACATAAATAGATGTTATTAGAAAATTTAACCTGCTAACTCATGATAAACCACCGAGTGCACTAAATAAAAAGACGACAGCAAATAAGAAAATCAACAGATGATCTTCAGTATTACTAGGCTATCAACTTGAAATAAAAATTTAAAAAAGGCAAAGATGACACAGTGGCAGACTTTCTGTCACGACAGATTGAATGCAAGGCACTGACCGGGACACAGAGTTAAATAACATTAGTCAGACATTTTATTTTAATAAAAAGACGGTCATTTCAACAATACAACGAGTGTTATACTTGAAACTATGACATTTTCAGGCTAACATATGCAATAATGTATGCATATTTAAATGATGATGTAAACGATTATTTTGCTTTATCACAGTTTAGTAAGTGAACTGTAATATACGAAGAGCTTATATAGAGATGTTATAGATAAAGAGCTTATTGTTTTAACTAGAGATGTGTTACATTAAGAAATTATTTTTTTTCAGCTAGATATGTGGCATATCTCCTTCTTCTTCTATATCTTAAGGGCCAACGATCAATTTATTGATCATTTTGGCTCCTATGCATGTAGATGGGATTTGCAATGTTTCTGGTACTGGTGGTGATGAGGAAATTATGCACTAGGGGTTTGAAGGCTTGAGGCAATAGATGAAAAGGTTATTGTTTCAACTAGAAATGTGATGTACGAAAAACTTATTGTTTGAACTAGAGATGTGATACATAAAGAGCTTATTACTTCAACTAGAGATGAGATATATAAAAAAGTTTATTACTTCAACTAGAGATGTGATATATTTAATTTTATTTTTTCAACTAGAGATGTGATATACGAAGAGTTCATTGTTTCAACTAGAGATATGATATATGCAGTTCCTATTGTTTCAACTAGAGATGTTATACATTAAGATCTTATTGTTTTAACTAGACATGTGATATGTGAAGTGTTTATCTAGAGCTGTGGTATTTGAATAGTTTATTGTTTTAACTAAAGATGTGACACATGAAGAAAACAGCGTTTAAACTAGAGATGTGATACATGAACAGATAATTGTTTCAACTAGAGATGTGATATGGGAGGAGCTTATTGTTTCAACTAGAAATGTAATACATGTAGTGCTGATTGTTCCAACGTGATGTAGTTATTTAAATATTTGAATTAAGCCAAATGACTTGGTCAACATTGTGTACATAGTGTGACGTCACGTGAACAGCTTTATTTTAGGCGAGGTCTCGGGACATACAAAACAAAAGGGCTGCTTTTTAAATGAAAGAATAATAACATAAATTTATAGATTGATTTGTTAACATTTTATTTGAAACTATTGCCTACTCACACAAATCAATAATTTTACAAAATGAGATTAAAGTATTAATTGTGGCTTTTGTTCGCAGTAGGTCCGTAAAAAAAAAAAAGTTTGAATACATTGATCGTAAAGTACAATTTAATATCCCAGGTTTAAGTGCCTTACAGATGGCCCACCTTAAGAAGGGCGATCAGTTCTAAAACATCTGTTACTAAACAATGATTTCGGAATAATACACTACGCACCAATAAGTGTGTTTTTGAAATGAACTTTATTATTATTATTATAATTATTCAGTGACAAGTAGTAAAGTTCTCATATAAGTCACTTTTATGGAAACCGGTCTCAAGTAGTTTCAACTTATCCCCTAGTCACTTTTATGGAAACCGGTCTCAAGTAGTTTCAATTTATCCCCTAGTCACTTTTATGGAAACCGGTCTCAAGTAGTTTCAATTTATCCCCTAGTCACTTTTATGGAAACCGGTCTCAAGTAGTTTCAATTTATCACTTTAACTATAAAACGAAAATTGTATGTATGTCATGCATGTGTTGAGATGCAATTATAATATGATAATAAAATGCTTCGCACAAATAAACATAAGACAAATTTGATTAAAGATTGAAACATAGAGTTTATTGCAGTTACAAATATTTCTTATGTTAACGCATTCCTTAAATGTATCGCTTGCAACAGATTGAAAGAACTAACATCGTAGTCTTTGTTTTCTGCTTCAATATGGCTTCTGTGGCAACAAATTTCCACTGAAAATATAATTGAACAATTATTTAAAAAGTATTAATAAACTCCACACTAACATACAGTTGCTGCTAATAAGGTGAGCATGAAAACTTCATTAAGTGAAAGCGCTTATTAATCATTCATGAGCTCTTTATGCTCATGGCTTATATATATATTATATATATGAAACATTGACACGGAAGTCTAGATTCACACAACATAAATACAAACGAAATATCCAGGCACAAGGACACAGGCTGGTAATAGTAGAGAACAAGTCAGACATTATTACTTTCGTCATTGGTTCCAATTAAACGCTCGTATCACACTTAGCGCTTGTCTCTACATCTTTCCCTGATACTTACAATGGCCAGTACTCACACATGAGAGTATTGGACACTGTCCCTGATACTTACCATGGCCAGGACTCACACACGACAATATTGGACACTGTCCCTGATACTTACCATGGCCAGTACTCACACACGACAATATTGGACACTGTCCCTGGTACTTACCATGGCCAGTACTCACACACGACAATAGTGGACACTGTTCCTGATACTTACCATGGCCAGCACTCACACACGACAATATTGGGCACTGTCCTTGATACTTACCATGGCCAGTACTCACACACGACAAGATTGGACACTGTCCCTGATTACTTACCTTGGCCAGTACTCACACACGACAAGATTTGACACTTTAGGGCAATGGGCGATAGCGCATCCAACAGCTTTGGTGTTATTCCAAATGACCTGAGATCCAATAATCATTTAGGGATGTCTTGGGGTGAATTAGAGAACTTTTTCCAAACAATTTAAATTTATAAAAAAACTGTTTTTATTAATATCAGATGTTTAATTATTCTTTATGATATTCATCTCTAGCATCTGGTTCCTAAAAAAACACAATAGACGTAATTATTACGTTTGTTACAACGTATTAAAGTGCACAACACTTTCTCAGAGACTGACTATTTACGACGTTTTGGATTAAAATCAAAATTTTTCTTCATCTTTCTTAACCTAGTAGCTATTCATGGTGACATGGGTTTAAACTTTGAAGCCATCACGTACAAAATTGCTTAAATGTAGTAAATATTAGATTATTTGAATAGCAAATAAATTGATAAGATAAGATTATTTTATTGATCCAAACTAAATGAAATGTTGTACGATTGCATGAACACAATACATTTATAATAAATTTTTTCATTAGTATAAAAAAAAACACAAAAAAACAACAAAAAACATCTATTCAGTGAGTTCTCTTAGCCATATCAGGGACTTATTAGTTCTCATTGAGATTTGTGTCTTCAGGGAGAGCACGCTGGTAAATGTGTATAGATTGGGGAACAAAATAAATTTTATATCATTCAGGACTCGCGCTGACGGATAGAATTCGTCACGAACGAGCCGATCCTTAGGGTGTGAACTGAGTGCATTCGTTTTCGTCTCCTTTCTCTTTTTTCTCTATTTTGACGATCGGCAAGAAAATGGAAGAGAAACGAATGTGTTACATTTTTGTATCGTCACTGGCGACACATTGCCCCATTTTGCTCAGTTTGGTTCCACTATGTGCAACAATAATGGAGGCTTTGCAATGGCTCTTACTGTTTTGGATGAAAAGGAAACGTCGAACCCCAAAACGTTACTGGACACACAGAATTTCTATAACAAAGAGGTGATTTTGGAGATGAAGAAAAATGTGTTTCCTATATCCGGATGCGCCCTGAAACTTTTCCAATCCTTCTTGATCACATTGGACCTCATATTGAGAAAAGAACAACGAATTTTCGAAAACCTTTGTCTTCAAGAGAAAGACTTGTGATAACTCTACGGGTACCCGTGGCACATTGAAGATGACTAATGACAAAAACATAATTTAGGGCAGGTAGACAGACAGGCCGACGGATGGGTTAAAAGATGGATAGATGGATGATAGATTGACACTATAAATTTACAGCAAAACAAGTGTTGATGGCCAATTTGGCGGCTGGTCTAATCACTTGCTGAGAGTAAATTGGGAGGAATTTTAGTTACGAGTTAAAACGTTCGGGTTCGATTCAGCAAATGGAGCGGCAAGAAAAAGGAGAGGAACGCGAGAGGGGTGCACTCCGTTGCCTATATTGAAATATGAGACTCTTCCGGTGATTCGGCAACTGAGAGCAAAGGTCAAGCTGGGACCATCACGAAGCGGAGAGAAAACGAATGCACTCAGTTCACACCATAAGTATCTGTGATGAATTAAAATGTAGAATCCAAAATGTTTTACAATAACATATGTCTTTAAATAGGTCTTCAAGTGAAAGATGTTACGTTTTTTTTTATATTCTTAGCTCTCTTCAATAGTTGATTTTTGCGGTATTTTATATGATTTAGAAGGTGAATTCTCACACCAACAGGTAATACTGAAATTAAGTAGGCTTCCAATTGTTTCACTGTAGAATAAATTAACGACTTGCTGGTTTACGCCAAAATTGTATAGGTTTTTTTAGGTGGAACTGTCATTGCTTGAATTTCTTATACAGTATTCGGCCGTGCTTATGCCATGTCAGCTTGCTGTTATTGGTGACACCTAAGTATTTATATGCCTCTACTTTCTCTACACTTTGATTTTTTATGTTGATATCTGCAATCTGTTGTTGCACCTTCCTGTAATTAATAGATGAAATGGCGAAACGAGGTATGTGGAAGCTTGAAATAAGATAACAGGGCATTAATTAATAAGTGTAATAAGAAGTGTAATAGTAACTTCTTTTGTTTTTGAGACATTCGTCTGGAGAAAATTTTCATCGCACCAATTGATAAAGCTTGTAACTAAGTTGCGGTGTAAGCCTTCTCCTTCAGATATTCATCCAACGTTGGTGGTACCATCAGCAAGTTTTCAGATTTGAATATCATTGGTATTTAATGTATGTCTAAAGTACAGGAGAGAGAATTGGCAGTGATATGTGATATGTCTAAAGTACAGGAGAGAGAATTGGCAGTGATATGTGATATGTCTAAAGTACAGGAGAGAGAATTGGCAGTGATATGTGATATGTCTAAAGTACAGGAGAGAGAATTGGCAGTGATATGTGATATGTCTAAAGTACAGGAGAGAGAATTGGCAGTGATATGTGATATGTCTAAAGTACAGGAGAGAGAATTGGCAGTGATATGTGATATGTCTAAAGTACAGGAGAGAGAATTGGCAGTGATATGTGATATGTCTAAAGTACAGGAGAGAGAATTGGCAGTGATATGTGATATGTCTAAAGTACAGGAGAGAGAATTGGCAGTGATATGTGATATGTCTAAAGTACAGGAGAGAGAATTGGCAGTGATATGTGATATGTCTAAAGTACTGGAGAGAGAATTGGCAGTGATATGTGATATGTCTAAAGTACAGGAGAGAGAATTGGCAGTGATATGTGATATGTCTAAAGTACAGGAGAGAGAATTGGCAGTGATATGTGATATGTCTAAAGTTCAGGAGAGAGAATTGGCAGTGATATGTGATATGTCTAAAGTACAGGAGAGAGAATTGGCAGTGATATGTGATATGTCTAAAGTACAGGAGAGAGAATTGGCAGTGATATGTGAATCATCAACAATCTTTTTTTTTAACCCAGATCTGTCTCCCTTACTTAAGATTAAACGTTAATTAGATTCACGAACAGATATTGCCCTCTCTTGTTGCTCTTACTTCTTGGCTCTTCTGAGATAGAATAAAAGATGCTTATCTACTTGTACATTGTGAACCTATCGAAATACTATATGAAATATTTTGAGAGATTTACAATTTTCTTTGAATTTTATATACATTCTAAAATGTTTAATCCTAACTTACATGTGTTAAATTTAAGAAGTTCACCATTGAATCAGTAAAAATTTGGTTTAATTTCGTCTGCTGTTTTCTTTCGTCTTTCTCCAGGTTCTTATCATACACTTTGATTAATGTCTTTTTAATAACTTACGGGATGTTATTATGCTTAAAAAATGTGTTTGGATTAAATCAACCAATCAATACATTCGATCTGTTCTCACCTGAGAGTAATGCCCACATGCCCCTGTTGCAATACACTTCCAGTCATTGAAATCTACCAACTTCTTTTCAGACGCCCAAGACTTGAGAGAGTCCAGGGCCACTGACTTGTGGTCGTAATTTGCCGCTAAATTTGTATGTCAAGTTAACAACAGTCACTACAATGTATTAAATAAAGCTGGACGTTAGCTACAAACTTTATAATTGGCTAGTTTTAGTTTAGTGTCAACTTATCAAAAATCTTTATAATTGGCTAGTTTTAGTTTAGTGTCAACTTAACAAAAATCTTTATAATTGGCTAGTTTTAGTTTAGTGTCAACTTAACAACAATCTTTATAATTGGCTAGTTTAAGCTAAATGTCAAATTATTAACAATCTTTATTATTGGCTAATTTAAGTTGGATTTAAAGTTACCAATGATATTTATAGTTGACTAATTCAAATAAGCAGCTGATTAAAATATATTATTATTATTGTCATCGAATTTAGTAAAAATATTAAATAGAAACTTTATATAAATATCTAACATAAACATGGTATACATATAAAAGATATACACAGTATAAGAATCAAATATAAAGATGGTATTTGATATAAATATAAATATGGAATAGATATTAAAATATAAACTTCCTTAACTATAAATATTACCAATCTTTTTTTAAAAATGTATTTCCTATGTTTAAATTTGTTAAAGTGAAATGACTTGTTTATATGTTGATAACTTGGCTGGCGTATGGTGCTGGCAATAAAGGTTAAGCATAAACGTACCGCTAGTTCTAGTTTGATGATACATTTTCTTACAGTACCAAATGGTTGAATACACGATACCTTTATAACTATTGTTCTCAAGAGAGATATATAACGTAAGATATACGATTCTTAGAACGACGAAAAGCATCGTTAAAAATTATTTTTATTATTTTGAAAAATAACAGATTGTACTTTCACGTGATCAGTAATAAGTCTTTTAAATGAAATCTGTTCATGTTATCTAAAATAAATTAATTCCTAAACAAAATGCCTTTGTTATAAAGTTTTGACCTTACGCCATGATGCGAAAATATTTTCCCCATATTTGGAAGAGCTGTGTTTGAATTCACACTTGGATGCGTGGGTCTCCGCGAATGACGACAATGTGTTGTTCCAAACCTAAAAATAGGAATAAAATCACAGGCACAACAAAAGCAATAACTTTATTTTAAATCAATGGTATTTTTTATGAACATGGTGTTTTAGCCACAAACAATTTTTATAATGTCTGTTGCTTGCAAAAACTGAATCCATTTTTTTAAACATTTATTTCGTTCAACTAGTCTAGTTTTTAGATAATAACAGGGTACAATGATATATCGTAATTTACTTTTCAACTAATTTATGAACATGGTGTTTTAGCCACAAACAATTTTTATAATGTCTGTTGCTTGCAAAAACTGAATCCATTTTTTTAAACATTTATTTCGTTCAACTAGTCTAGTTTTTAGATAATAACAGGGTACAATGATATATCGTAATTTACTTTCAACTAATTGATCCTTAACATGGTGAGATGACATATCGTAACCTACTTCCCACTACTAGATCCTTAACAGGGTGAGAGGCCATCTTAACCTTATTCCAAATAGTAGGTCGCCAACAGTGCGTGTTTACATGTCATAACCTAGTTCCAGCTATTAGAACATGTAGATAGTAAACTTGCGGTCTGTAACGATACATCCTATCTTAATGTGATAGAAGCAAACGTTTGGAACATTACACACTTTAAAGGCTACCCTAGATTTTAATTAATCATTCGGACATTTCTTATAACAACTACAAACATTAGTTGCAACACGTGCCCTTTTGTCGTCCAGACTGAACGCATACGTTTCCCCAAGGGCAGTTTTCAGATACGCGACGGTTTCCTCTGTACAAGCCGCAACGTTATCTACGCCATTGTCTGCACCCGCTGTCAGATGACATACATAGGGGAGACTGGACGCCGTCTCTCGGACAGGTGTACCGAACACCTCCGAAACATTACACAAGATAAACAGTGTCCCGTCTCCAAACACTTCAATAGTAGCGACCACCGGGGCAAGGCGGACTTTTCAATAAGTGCGATTGTGGCCAGCACTAACACCGCCAGCCGGGTCAATTTGGAACACAGACTTATCCTGACTTACGGCACTTTGACGCCAGATGGGATTAATGTTATGTCTCTGTTCACAGCTTGACCCTAGCTCCGCCCCACCACGTTCTGACCTATCACATTGAACTTTTTTCTCCCCCCTTTTTTCGCCGCTGCTTATTTAAACTCTCACTCATTTTCCTTCTGCCACACTTATATTGCTGCCCACAGATACTACTTACCAGCTAAGTGCTATTTCTTATTTTTATAACGTTTTTTCTGTTGTTTTGTTCGCTGACGAAGGCTTTTGCCGACACGTTCGCTGTTTTGTTGCGTTTAATTTTTCAGGTTTAACCATACTCTGTTTTACTCATTTTATTTTGTACTAACCTGATTGCAGTCTCTCCCCTTATTACCCCTACAAACATTAAGGTCATTGAATTTACCAATAATGTCTTGACCCCAACAGCAGCCCGTACATCATTGTGGGCGCTGACAAAAGCAGTCTTCTCGGTGTCAGTCAGTGCGTCTGGACTGCTAGCAAAGCTCAAAGCTAGTGCAAGAGACAACACCACAATACAACTTATCATCTTCATTGATGGTCTGCAGAAATTCTACTCGATAGTGGAAACAAGGATTCTTGTTGACAACAGCTCTAGCCTATAGGTAACGTAAAGAAACTGTTGAAAATAGCACATTGCAAATAAGCACAATAACCTAATAAACTTATTCATTATAATTAATTTCTATAAAGAAAACAAGTTATAGTTACCTTAGGAGTAAGTTATAATTACCTGATTCTAAGCCTTGGGAAAATGTAGTTGAGAAACGAACGTTTCACTTTATATACATGCCCCATCATTTCATGTCTTTCATCTCTTTTGACCTATTAACTCATTCTAATAGGATTGTCTTTGATCGTTCTTTTAAAGTCCAACGTTTGCAACTTCATTAAAAACGCATCTGTTCTTGGCTCCAATGTAATACTATTTCACCTGCTAGTTTCACAGTGTGAGTTGTGACAAAGATATTCATCAAAACATCGTGTTTAACGAGTTGGTCATTGAATTACAAGCGTATTGGACATCTTGTGGTGACTACAAAGATGTGGTGAATAGAAAGATTTGGTCAATACAAAACTGTGGTAAATACAAAGATTTGGGGAATGGAAAGATATGGTTTGTATACACATATGGGGTGAATACATAGATATGGGGTATAGAAAGATATGGTTTGCTTACACATATGGGGTGAATACAAATATATGGGGAATACAATAATGTGGTGGACATAAAATGTGATATAATATAAAGATGTATATGTTCTGGAACCAGCTCCCCTTCCATATCCGTCATTGTGAAACCTCGTCCATTTTCAAAAAGTCCCTTAAAACTCATCTGTTTAGGTCCGCCTATGACCTGTGATGCACCCTCCTTGCCCTGCCTCATTTTCTGTTTCGGGTTG